CTGAATGGCAAGTTAATGTAGGTCCTCCATCTCTTTACGAAGTTGAAAAAGCCATAGGAAATCTGAAACGAGGGAGAGCAGCAGGCCCTGACAGGTTTACCCCTGAGATTTTTAAGGATGGTGGTCCAGTATTAGCAGTGAGATTAACTGAGGTCTTAGGTAGAATTTGGGAACTGGACGTAATCCCATCTGACTGGTCTCAATCACTGATTGTGCCAGTCTAAGAAAGGACAAAAGTCCTCTTGTGACAATAACAGAGGAATCAGTTTGACAAATATAGTGTCTAAAATATTAGCTTCAATAATACTTCGACGCCTAACCAAAGCTCGTGAAGAACAGACTAGAGAAAATCAGGCTGGTCTCCGACCTGGACGTGGTTGTATAGATCAGATATTCACACTACGTCAGGTTCTAAAACACAGACACACATTCAGACGTCCCACAATCGTAGTATTTCTCGACCTCAAGGTGGCATTTGACTCTGCTGATCGTGAGGTTCTGTTGCAGAGTTTGTCACTGAAAGGAGTACTAAAGATGTACATTAACCTTACACAGGCTCTCTACTCCAACACAACTGTCCGAGTCAGAGCTTATGGCGAACTGTCATCAGAATTGATTACCTCAAGTGGTGTTCGTCAGGGCTGTCCATCTCTCCATTCTTGTTCAACTTTGTCGTCGACGTACTTTTAGAGATAACACTTTCCTCGTCTAAATTTCCAGGGGTTGAACTTCTACCGGGAGGTTCACTTGTTGACTTAGAATATGCTGATGACATAGTTTTATTTGGTGAAGACGCTGACAAAATGCAGAGTCTTCTGACCACTCTAAGCAACAATGCAAGCATGTTCGGGATGTAATTCTCCCCCTCGAAATACAAAATGTTGTTTCAGGATTGGGTTGCATCGACACCCGAACTAATGATAGGGAGTGAAGTAATTGAGCGTGTCGATCGCTTCGCTTATCTTAGAATTCTCATCAGCCCTTGTGGTCTGGTGTGTGACGAAGTCTCAGCACGGATACAGAAGGCTCGACTAGCTTTTGCCAACTTGCGTCATTTATGGCGTAGACGAGATATCCGCCTATCAACCAAAGGACGTGCTTACTGCGCAGCAGTTCGTTCCGTCCTACTTTATGGCAGTGAAATGTGGTCGGTAAGAGTAGAGGATATCCGTAGGTTACTAGTGTTTGGTCATAGATCTCTTCCAAATATTGCTCGTATATCCTGGGACCATCGAGTAAGTAATACAGCACTATTAGGAAACGGGTACTAGGTAAGGATGGCAAATCAATTGATGACGTAGTGAAACTTCATCAGTTGAGATGGCTGGGTTATGTGTTACGTATGGCCAACCACCGACTGCCTCGAAGTGCGATGTTTTGTTGTATAGGAGTAGATTGGAAGAAAGCTAGGGGCGGCCAGACCAAAACATGGCACAAGTCCATGAAGTCACTGACAAGTAGACTGAGTCATATTGGTAAGTGTAGACTACCTGGTTGGGGACCACGAGATGATAGCAACCGATGGTTAGAGACCCTGAATGACATGGCTCAAAATCGTTTGCAATGACGCAGGTGCATCCACTCTCTGTGTTCTCCCAAATTCTAATCTTCTGAATTCTTCATGTCCCTTTTTTCTCTTTCCAAATTTATTTCACTGGATTATACTCCTTGAATAATATCTTCAAACCCCAATTTTTCTAATTACAGCTTATAATTTTACTACATCTAGACTACGGGATTTGAATCGACAATTGCATCTTTGTGCTAATCTGGTGTGCGTAATCGAATTGATGTACGTACGTACGACGTTCTATGTTGTTACTGACTGACTGACATCGACTTCCAACACTAAACTTCCACTTTTGGCTTCCTCTTCATGTGTCACCATAGCCAACGACTCTAGTACGCAAAACACTGTCCCAGGTCTACCGGAAACTCGCCCCAAACTACACATTGGAGCCTTCAAAGTACACACACTATGTCAAACTGGTCAGCAGGCCTCCTTGGCTAAAACTCTAGAATCTCGTACCATTGATTTATGCTGTGTCGCCGGAACACGCATACAGGATCCTAGTGTGTTCATTCACTTGACCTCACCTCGGCAAAACGGAGAGTCAACGAGATACACCCTCCGTGTATCTGGTGACCCGATGGCCAGCTCTCGTGGACTGGCAGGTGTAGGCATAGCACTAAGTACGAGGACAGAACAAGCACTATTAGAGTGGATCCCCGTTAACAGTCGTCTATATACTGTTCGGCTAAACGGCTCCGTAAGAACTCGGAAGGATAAGGACACACGTCGTTGCCTTTTTATTGTTTCTGCCTACGCTCCCACTGACTGCAGCCGTGACTAAGTGAAAGATGAAGTTTATAGAAAGCTTTATGAACTTCTTCATTAAGCTAAACACCCACACATAGTATTCGTAGCAGGTGACTTTAATGCCCAAGTAGGTAGCTTAAACCAAACAGAAAGACACTTAGATGGGTACTTTAGTATTCCGGCTCAGCGAACAGATAATGATGATGGTCTGCTGCAACTGTGCTCAGACAATCGTTTATTTTTAGCAGGCACTAATTTTAAGCATAAGGAGAAACATAGTCTAACATGGCGACCGCCTGCACCAAACCAACGATGGACTCAAATAGACCATATTGCCATCAGTCGTCGTTGGAGAGGGTCGATAAAGGACTACCACTCGTTCTGGAATACCTGCTTGGACTCCGACCATGCTCTAATACGGGCGCATAACTGCTTGCGCCTCACTGGACGCAGAAAAGACACATTAAGAAGACCTATTGGAGTTGAACTCAACGATTAGAAGGTCAAAGGTACATTTCAGGAACAACTGAATTTACACTTGGGCAATTTCGAAACCGAGGCTGACCCAGATGTTGCTTGGAAAGATATACAAACAGCAGTGACATCTGTTAGTGATTTAAACCGAAGAGCTACAAAAAATCAATGGATTTCTTCAAGGTCTATTGCACTGATGGATTCTCGTAAACTCATCCCATCAGGCTCAGAACACGATGATGAGCGAAAGCGAATCAGATCTAGGTTAACCAAAAGTCTAAGGAACGACTGTGAACAGTGGTCGGCAACGAAAGCAAAAGAGGTGGAAAATACGGTGGCTATAGGTAACACAAGACAGCTCCTCAGACTCGTGAAAGGAACTGGAACTAAAAAGTCAAGTGTAAGTGAGACTATCTCACAAAAAGACGACACTCGTATCTGCTCCCAGTCCAGACGTTTAGAACGATGGGCAGAACACTTTAAGTAGAAGTTCAGCTGGCCTTCTGTTATAACTCAAAGGGCTGCCGATTAGAGGACAGTGATTTATCGATCGGATCAAGGGATTCAGAATCTCGATAGACTACTCTGGTCCGTTGTCTACGACTCAGCTAACGCGATCAAGAAGTCTTGATAAGGCGTAGAAAGCGTATTCTACAGGCAACCAGCAGATAGCAGGTCAGGTCAATCAGGCACACAAGTCAAGCGTATTTATACAAATATTTACAATCGATATTGTCATAGTAAAATGGTTTTAAACATTAATCAGTAGGTTCATCAATCGACAACCATTCAAATATCTAATCGATAATTTCGTCAATTGACTTATGTTTAATCATTTAATCGATAAGTTCATCGATTGACTGTTATTCAAATATTTAAACATTTAATCGATATGATAAAATTACAAAATATGAGTTTTGGGGATCTATCGTCCCCAACACCTTCAGCTACTCTACAGTTACCCACCATTTTCAAAATGCCCCAACGAAACGTTGAGAGGTAGACCCTTCGACTATAATTGAATTTCAAAGAGCTATAACTAATCTGAAACGAGAAAGAGCAGCTAATCCAGATGGTGATTCAGTTTTAGCGATTACGCCAACTCACCAGAATCCTCCTTCAAAATCATACATACAGTCATAAGAGTCGGCTTAATAGGAATCCAAATGGCAAACTTATGTACAGCGCAGGCTATCGCTATCCGCCAGTTTCAGTCGCTCATTGTTCGATGGTCAGAACCACCTTTTCTATCTTCCATAATCCATCGTTTATTTTAGATTTTATAATGTATATTCCTTTTCAATTATTTTCACAACCACTCATTAGCAATTGTTATAACTTTTAATCTTTTCTTAATAGCTGTCGAGTGGATAATTATCTTGACCTTACCACTTTTTCAATAGCCGATAATTACATAACTTCCTTTCAATATCTGATTTTCAATTTTCGACAAGATACCACATCAAGTTCTTAAATATTCAACACCATCCTATCCTACTATAGACTACTCTGTTCTAGTAAATAAAATTAACTACTATTGTACAATTCAAGTAAATGAAATCGTCCAAAAAAATATTCTTCGTCGAATCGCTTTTTTTCTTGTTTCATATCCGTTAGCTATTTAAAAGCGTCAGGCGTATGACCCATGAGATGTTCGTGTTTCACGATCCTGTTCGAAAGATTAGTCAAAGACTCATGCCCTTAGTTTGACTACAATAAGATATGGTGCATTTGAGTTAGAATAAGCTCATGTTTGTAGTTGGACGAAGAGTGATAATGTTCGACAGTTCAAATAGTCCTCTTGTACACTGATCACCTATGACTATTCGTGATCAAAAGTCAACAATGATAGTGTAATTTTTTGTTTGTCGACATCGCTAAATATTCAGAAAGTGATTAACGGACAATTAAATTATCTACATCTTCAAGAATACTAGTAAATATACATTTTTGCGAAAAAAAATTTACAGTTAAAATTGAGTAGAATAGTTTATTTTACTGGCAGAGTGGTACTTATTTATATCAGTTCCTGACGACTTTATGTTTTCAACTTAATGATTGTCGATTAAAGACTTTAAAATAATTTCTCACAGTTGACCGAAAACTCCATAAAACCACTATATTTAATCCACAGTGACGATAACTCAGAATAAAATGAAACTACGTAATTCGCGTAACATAACATCAACACATCTACAATGCATACCTCTAGTGAGCCAATCCACTGACAACTACCGATAAAACTTTTTGGCTTATCCCCAAAACGTACAATGGAAGCTTGAATATCTCTGAGAGATGGTATTGGACCTGGAGTTATTTCACCTTGCCACATAAGCCAAGATACTAGTGTTTGGAGCGATCGATATGCACAACCCCAATTCCTGTCATCTACTCCGTCCTAAAAATGTTAAAAAATTATTCATGTAGAGACTCAAAGCTTCTGAATTAAAAATATGATGTTACATTGGCAGAAGTCTACGGATACTTAGTCCGTTTACGCAACCTCAAAAAGAACATGGTCAAATCCAAGACAAATATGTACCACCGGAAATTTTAAGTACGGTACACATGTATGAGAATCATGATAAGAGTAACTACCTTATGTAATCTGCTATTGATTACACTTATGGATCGATGTTCTCAGTCCTTTCTAATAAATACAGTTCCAAAAATTCCCAACCAAACTGATTGCAAAAGGGTATTTAATTAAATTATGGAACAGCGTTCTAACTATTTTAAGGTGTCACAAGACTTTTGTACAATATCAGGAAACGCGAAAATTAGGTAGATCCCCAAATAGGTAGATCAATCATTCAATTTAGATCACGGTTTTTGAGTAGATTATAATTTATAATCAATCCTTAAGTGATAACTAATCGAGACCTGTATGAAAGATATTAATTTTGTTGATGAGTTTCACAAATAATTTAGCTGCCTTAGAAATAATCAGTCGTATTGCTAGTTGGTGTACTTTAGTTACAAGTCGAAACCCTGTTTCCCACATTCTAGATTTATCAAGTAAAACAATTTAGTCGATCTATGAGATGGTTATACTATGTACTTAAAACAATTAGTCCCTCTGATAAATTTCGATGTAATGAGAAGAAGGTTATCATGATTATGTGATATATTCGCGCAATACATTTATAACAATCTAATCATACATATACTTGTTAAGACATTTTATATGAAAATTAAAGGACAAACAAACAAATTGAAAGGTAAGCAGAAACAAGGATAATAAAGTACACAAAAATAATGTGGAAACCACGCTGGATAATAAATCAGTATTACCAATGTAAGTTAAGGGTAAGAACAAATAGTTTCGACACATAAAGGGGGTGTCACTTTCCGTATAGCCAAGGCTTCAATAAACCTTAGAATACGCCCTTGAAGGATTTTGTACACAACTACAAAAGCTGACTCGATATCAACCTTATGGCCGGTCACAACCAAATGTTTCGCAATGGAGGAAGATGTTTGTCTATCCTGAGATCTTATTTGACTATTGGGATTCACTTGTTTTTGCAACCATTTAGGTATGTGTTCAGCCACACTTGCAGATCACGATTAGTTCTGCCTATGCATGTGTTTCCGGACGTACATATAGATCTACACACACAGTGGGATGAGATGCAATCGCTTACGTGCTGTTCACTTTTTTGGTTAAACATATATCTTGTCTTTTGAATAATGACGAGTCGAGCTGCATAAAATGTCCTATTGATGGCTAATTTAGGTCTTTGTTTCGACATGAGATTATTTAAGTCACCTCTAGACGGTAATGTAAAATAGACTCGCTTTTTTGGTGCTAGAAGCGTCATATGTCTCATCATATTGCAACCTTTCCAAAGGTTTATAAACTTCAATGAATAACCATCATTCACCAATGTTTCCGTTAAGAGCTTCGTGTCTCCTTCAATACTATCACTAGTTCAAATATGACTGATCCTATGAATAAGCCCTTTATTAATCCATTTTTGTAATGAATTGGACAACGAATGCGGGAATTAAGATTTTGCCCTGTTCATGTCGGTTTTCTATATACAGAACGTTTGATGGGACCATCGTTTCTCCTACTAATCAGAATGTCTAGAAAAAGGGGGCTTTAGTTGTCTGTTTCAGTCTTAAATAAACATTTACCGGTTAATTTAAGTAATACTTCCTATTAGATAAATAATGCATAACAGTGAGCATTCTCTCCGATGGATAATTTTAAGCATAAACTCAGTGTTATGCATGAAAATATATAATTAAATGTAAGCAAAATGGGAATTTTCACTTTGGAAAGAAAAAACCAAATATATTATAATAAGGTGTGTATTAGCTTGGTTAAATAACTGTTATAATATCTCGTGTAACAACCAATCTACTCTTTTTGCTTAGTATTCTGTAGACACTTTACTTCACTTGACAAGTTTCCAAATCAGAACACGGTTGAACAGGGACGTAATTATATCCCAAATAGACAAGGTCGAGTGGGGGGTACGAACCACAATAAGAACGTTAGTATATTTACAATTTTACACAAGATTCTAGTCTTCTTCAAGTATCCGCCAGAGCTGACTGGGTAGGAAATAACCAATCAGTGTACTCCAACGCAATCGTGCAAGGAATATGCTTTAATCAAATTTATATCCCGTTAACAATAACATTGTCTACTTCACTTGTAAAAATTAATATACCACTGAAAACAACGTCCTGGTACAACGCGTTTCGGTTAGCTTCTTTTTTACTGGTTCATAACGAATTTGCATGGATCATGAAAGACAACTTAATATAAAAGTTTACAACTAGATATCGGACGATTAATATCATAAGCAAACCAATTTCATAAAAATAACATCAACCAATATTAAGTTAAGATAATTAACACATACCTGAAGATAATGCTTATAAGTATACCGACCTGTAACGATGTAGGTTTGACCTATATTAGGTGCTTGTTTAACGGCTTCATGAGGACACACAAGAAGTTCAGATGACGGACCAAGCCAAGTGACTATTCTAGGTACTGGATGTAAAGCCTGACCTCGTCGGACGAGTGGAGTATCCAGTGGAAGACTGAATTCTTGAAAAACACGAATGAGTAGGGTGTAAATAACTCTCGTTTTACACTAATTAAATAACATATCTGACGTCACGTGATGTACAAATGATTAGACTAAAACACAAAAATCCAGTTAATTAACTCGCCTTATGTAACAAAACAACATTAAGATAACTTCTTAATATTCGAAATGTATTTATGACGAATTATCCTAACCAAAAATGAAAAATTATGGATTATTTTTGTAAAATGTACACCGATCCATCACGATTGAATAAATATAGGAATCAAGTAGTATTACTCATAAACAACAATGAGCGGCTTTTATCGTATGAAGACTGACGATACCATATGGCTGATGAGAATATATAAGGGAAGACTCACATGATTTAACTGATAAACAGAAATGGCCACTAGGCCAAATGTTATGAACAAACATTTATTTACTTAGGTGTGATAATAAAAAGATTGATACAAAGCAATAGCTCCAAAAAAGTTTATTTAAAGTGCAAATTTAGTTCACTTACATTACTACTGAACGTCAGTAATTAGAAATAAGACTAATATCATGGAAATGGACACAAATTTATTAAGTTCCTTTTACAAACAAAATTACGAAAAACAGAAATCTTGTGAAGCTGAAAGTGTCAAGCAGCTGCTCATTGTTGTAATGATAGGTTTTCTAGACGTAAGTTGACTCTTAGATATACAACAATATGGTAGGGTATATTGTTAACATTACGGATCATAAGCGGCAACAAAGTAAAACCGAGTAAACACGAATGTTTTCTAACTCGGTACACTAAAGCAACACCCTATGGTGCATTCTAAGATAAACTATCACAATTTATCTGACGTTAAAATATAACTACGGAAATTCGGATTGTCGTGAATTAAGCAAAATACTTTGTATTTACATACAAGAAATATTATTAGTGAAAAAATTGTTTCTTTACTAAATAAATTATCTCTAGGCGTTTTAAAGATGATTTGTCGCATCGAATGACATCCATTAGTTACCGTGTTGGTAGTACATCTGAGTTGTGGAGAAGGAGAGTGATGTGTTGAGTATAGCTGTATTCTATATTTTGAGGATTGTGGTACCCCGGCGGTTGTTGCTATCTTGACGTGGTTGTCAGGTTTGCCTATCGTAGTGAACCAATCGGGCTATACTGGCTGGAACAATCGTTCCTCAAGGTCCCATCATGTCAGGCAGGTCGGTTGAAGAGCCGTAAGACTAAAAGCAACAAACTCAAGGTCTGCTGACTGTACAGACGTGTGACCGCAGTAAGGTGTTTCCCTCAGACAAGCAGCCTAACAGCGATGCTGTCTTCCCACAAGAAAGGATGGGATTATAAAAGGTCGACTCTAAAAATGCACATCTTGCCTTATCCAACGGATTTCCGTCTCCGGCGGTAAGATCCAAACAAGTATGGAGCTAACACGAAAACTACTCACAAAAAGGTCGTGTGCGACCGACCTCAAGCAGTTGTCCCTTGGGCACTGCGATTACGCTCTTGTGTCACTAAGACCGACTCTAAGCCAATTCCCTTTTCAGGTACCTTTAGAAGAACCCTTCACCAGTGTGAGCATTTATTATTTATTTATTTGAACACAAAAAACGTTGGTACAAGAAGGCACCAAATACATATGCGCCACATAAATCATTCGATTTGCGTAAGGGCTGTGATACTGCCCGGGTGCCCCGAGTCTTCGACCATAAGGTCTGACCCACAAGGCAGTGTAGCATCGTAAGGAGATGCAGTCCCATGGTAGCCGGCGACCAATGGTTGGTCCCTACACCATTTGTTCCCGCAGGATACTGGAGCCCATGTGCATCATTGGTTAGGAATACTGTTAAAGCGCCGGACATTCGTTTTTCGTCATCAATTTCGCAAACAACACCCCCGACACGAGCAGTGAGTAGGACTTACCCGGCAGAGGCTATATACGCGTGGCCGTGTGAGAGCATTTATAGAAAGAGGGCGGGTGCATCCCACTCTCGGCCATACCAGGGCATTTGGGGGCAACCGCAAAGTGATGATTACCCTCATACCTCTAACAGCGCTCAAGATCATTGTATTAGTAATCAATCCTCCTCTTCGATTCCTATTATTCATCTTACATCGACTTCCAACACTAAACTTCCACTTTTGGCTTCCTCTTCATGTGTCACCATAGCCAACGACTCTAGTACGCAAAACACTGTCCCAGGTCTACCGGAAACTCGCCCCAAACTACACATTGGAGCCTTCAAAGTACACACACTATGTCAAACTGGTCAGCAGGCCTCCTTGGCTAAAACTCTAGAATCTCGTACCATTGATTTATGCTGTGTCGCCGGAACACGCATACAGGATCCTAGTGTGTTCATTCACTTGACCTCACCTCGGCAAAACGGAGAGTCAACGAGATACACCCTCCGTGTATCTGGTGACCCGATGGCCAGCTCTCGTGGACTGGCAGGTGTAGGCATAGCACTAAGTACGAGGACAGAACAAGCACTATTAGAGTGGATCCCCGTTAACAGTCGTCTATATACTGTTCGGCTAAACGGCTCCGTAAGAACTCGGAAGGATAAGGACACACGTCGTTGCCTTTTTATTGTTTCTGCCTACGCTCCCACTGACTGCAGCCGTGACTAAGTGAAAGATGAAGTTTATAGAAAGCTTTATGAACTTCTTCATTAAGCTAAACACCCACACATAGTATTCGTAGCAGGTGACTTTAATGCCCAAGTAGGTAGCTTAAACCAAACAGAAAGACACTTAGATGGGTACTTTAGTATTCCGGCTCAGCGAACAGATAATGATGATGGTCTGCTGCAACTGTGCTCAGACAATCGTTTATTTTTAGCAGGCACTAATTTTAAGCATAAGGAGAAACATAGTCTAACATGGCGACCGCCTGCACCAAACCAACGATGGACTCAAATAGACCATATTGCCATCAGTCGTCGTTGGAGAGGGTCGATAAAGGACTACCACTCGTTCTGGAATACCTGCTTGGACTCCGACCATGCTCTAATACGGGCGCATAACTGCTTGCGCCTCACTGGACGCAGAAAAGACACATTAAGAAGACCTATTGGAGTTGAACTCAACGATTAGAAGGTCAAAGGTACATTTCAGGAACAACTGAATTTACACTTGGGCAATTTCGAAACCGAGGCTGACCCAGATGTTGCTTGGAAAGATATACAAACAGCAGTGACATCTGTTAGTGATTTAAACCGAAGAGCTACAAAAAATCAATGGATTTCTTCAAGGTCTATTGCACTGATGGATTCTCGTAAACTCATCCCATCAGGCTCAGAACACGATGATGAGCGAAAGCGAATCAGATCTAGGTTAACCAAAAGTCTAAGGAACGACTGTGAACAGTGGTCGGCAACGAAAGCAAAAGAGGTGGAAAATACGGTGGCTATAGGTAACACAAGACAGCTCCTCAGACTCGTGAAAGGAACTGGAACTAAAAAGTCAAGTGTAAGTGAGACTATCTCACAAAAAGACGACACTCGTATCTGCTCCCAGTCCAGACGTTTAGAACGATGGGCAGAACACTTTAAGTAGAAGTTCAGCTGGCCTTCAGCTACTCCACAGTCAGTCAGTCAGTAACAACGTAGAACTTCGTACGTACGTACATCAGTTCGAGTTGCCACACCACACTAGCACAGAGATGCAGTTGTCGATTCAAATCCCATAGTGGTAGAGGTAATAAGAGTATAAGCAGTAATCGGTAAGATTAGGGTTTGGAGATGTTATTTAAAGAGTATAAACCAGTGAAATAAATTTGGAAAGAGGAAAAAAGGGACATGAAGAATTCAGAAGATTAGAATTTGGGAGAACACAGAGAGTGGATGCACCTGCGCCATTGCAAACGATTTTGAGCCATGTCATTCAGGGTCTCTAACCATCGGTTGCTATCATCTCGCGGTCCCCAACCAGGTAGTCTACACCTACCAACATGACTCAGTCCACTTGTCAGTGACTTCATGGACTCCACAGTTACCCACCATTCAAAAACAGCGTGAATGGAACACTGAAGCAGGCCCTCTGACTCGCATTCAAGTTCAAAAAGCCATAGATAATCTCAAACGAGGAAGAGCAGATGGATTGGCTCCAGAGGTCTTTAAGGATGGTGTTCCAACTATAGCGATTAGGTTGACTAATATTTTAGCTAAAACTGGGAGTTGGACGTAATCCCATCCCATTATATAAGAAGGGGTCAAAATCATTCTGTGATAACCATAGAGGGATTAGTTTGACTAATATAGCATCTAAAATACTAGCCTTAATAATTATCGGGCGGTTAACAAAGACTCGTGAACTGCAAACACGATAAAATCAGGCTGGCTTCTGACCTGGTCATGGCTGCATCGACCACATATTCACCATTCCTCAGGTTCTAGAACATAGACATGCTTACCGGCATCCGACAGCGATAGTTTTTCATGACTTGAATGCAACATTTGACTCTGTTGACCGAGAGGTTCTGTGGTAGTGACTCTCGTTGCAAAGTGCACCTCAGAAATACATAAGCCTCGTGAAGGCTCTTGACTCGAACACTAGTCGTCGAGTCAGAGCTTATGGCGAACTGTCATCTGATTTAGCAGCCTCAAGTGGTGTTTGACAAGGCTGTCCACTATCTCCATTTTTGTTCGATTTCATCATAGACCTACTGCTGGAAGTAACGCTTTCGTCATTTGAATTTTCAGGAATTGATCTCCTTCTAGGAGGTCCACTTATCGATCTAGAATACACAGATGACACATTCCCGTTTGGTGAAGACGCTGATAAAATGCAGAGCCATTTGGTCGCACTGAGCAACAATGCCAGAATGTTTGGAATGCATTTCTACCCCTCTAAATACAAGTTGTTGCTCCACGACTCACCTTCGTCAACACCTGAACTAAGGATACGGAGTGAAGTAGTCGAATACCTTGACAACTTCACTTATCTTGGGAGTCTGATCAACCTTAATGGGTTGGTGTCTGATGACATCTCTGCACGGATTCAGAAAGCTCGTTTGGCTTTTGCCAACTTACTTCACCTATGGCGAAGGCAAGATTTTCGTCTATCAATTAAGAGACGAATATACCGCGCGGCAGTTCGTTCTGTCTTACTTTACGGCTGCGAAGCATGGCCATTAAGAGTAGAAGACATTCGTAATCTACTAGCACTTGATCACAGACATCTTCGAAATATTGCTCGCATCTGTCGGGATCACCGGGTAAGTAATAGTGAGGTTAGACGCAGGGTATTAAGGAATGATGGTAAATCAGTTGATGAGGTTGTGAATCCTCATCGACTGAGATAGTTGGGCCACGTGTTACGCATGCCTGAACACCGATTACCACGACGCGCAATGCTGACTAGTGTTGGAAACGGATGGAATAAAGTTAGGGGCAGCCAAACTAAAACGTGGCATCAGTCACTAACTTCTTGTCGTAGCCATGTTGGTAGATGAAGACTACTTGGTTGGGGTCCGTGTGACTATCGTGACCGGTGGTTGGAGACTCTGGGTGACATGGCTCATAATCGATCACAATGGTGTTGGTGTACACGCTCCTTGACTTTTCTTAAACCGTGTGATTGAAATTGCCTTATACCTTTCTTTCTACGATCTAATTCTTTCTCCTTGTATCATATCCCTACACGAAATCTTTTTTTCATATATTACTACCATTGAAGTAACTGCTTTTATGAATCCGGTGTTCGTCTTGCCGTGCTAATGAGGTATGGCAACTTGGATCGATGCATATATGTGCCTCGTCCTACGTTGTAACTGACCTAATTGTCGTTTATTTATCTAAATATAGTGATCATTGGAAATATGACTTCCTAGGTCACAAAGTGATATAAAAATACTGTAGATAGAAAACTGATATAAAGATACCCAGTATTTCAGAAGCATATTGTTGTTGTAGCTCTTTGACTCGACTCCGATATGGATGAATGTATGAAAATGCTACCAACATAAATCTTCCATTTAACTCCGTATACTAAATAGGCTAACCCCGTTGGTGTGACGGTGATAAAAAAAAGTTAAGTAAGGGTTTCGTCTGAGGAATTTACTTCAAGCACTCGTTCATCGAGACACAAATTCAAAATAAGGAGTGAAGAGTAGAGCCAACTAGATCTGATTAAGCATGACTCGATATTTATAGTCAGACAAAAATAAATTACAGATACGTAATGAATAAAGTGAGCAATTACCTCACACGCCCACATAAAAACAATCAAGGTTAGTAAGCGAATAATTAACAAGGTCAGGATTTGACTTGAGAAGGATGAATAAACTAGTCTATCCGGAAGCTAAAATAACCCACGTGGGCTTGACATAGCACTAGACACCACACTATGAATAATGTAGTACAAGTGTCTACATTCAAGAGTCCTTACTATTTGAAACTTCAGACTAATAAAGATAAATGTTATGATATCATATTATTAATCTAGAATTTTTAAGGTGCCTGAAACATGATAACTTTTTAATAAGACTGTTTGTTTAGCGCCACACAGATCTTTGTAGCAAGAAAGTGAAGCATTTGTGTTTAGGTTTATAAAATTGCAATTACTGAGGAAAAACGAAAAGATATTGAGGTTATAAAACGTACTTTCATGAATGATCTTCCGCCAAATTTCTTCACGTGTTTCTTCGATCTTCCACGGGAGACGTATACTGAACATAGAAGACCGAACTACGTAATGGTAAGATAATAATGTTTTTGGAGGAAACTTTACTTCCCTCCAAAGAAACAGAAGAGCGCGATGGTAGCTGTCCAAAAATGAAGATAATTTTGTACACAGAGCTCTGTGCATTAATTCATTGTTGTTGAAATTGCAAATCAAATCTATCGGTATACGATGGGAGTAGCCAAATGAATGATGAGAAACCTGTAGAGTTGGAGTGTGATCACAAGTGTTATTATCAAGACTGAAAAATACTATGAGTGCTGCCAAATTTGTGTTGTCTTTTAGCTTCCTAAAGGAGTCAATCATTTTAGAGGAATGCTCTTTGGTCGAATTCGCCGATAAGCAAACAGAATCATGAACAAAAACAGCCGAAGTAAGCAAGATTTTCAGTTTTAGAAAGCATAAAGATAAAGATTCCTCTGTAGAAAACCTTATGCATATCGGTTTCTGACTGAATATTCTAAGCAGTATATGTTCTGAACTACCAGATAGTTCACCAACAGACTCACACAACTCCATATGTTCCAGAATGGAGAATATGAAACTATTCACCCGTTAAATTCCGATTGCATTGTCGCCGTTAAAACTCCATACTTCCAACAGAAAACAAAATAAAGTAAACTGGTTCTAATTTATTGCACTCTGAAGAAATAATATGTGCTTAGATTTAACCTGCAGTAGAGAAAGCACATCAGTGTACTCAACCAAAGTTCAAATTAAATGTATACTTATTGCCAATACTAAAATACGATATTAACAAATCACCTGAACTTTCGAGTTGATAATGGAATAACTTGGAAGTTAGTCAGGTTTCATAAATGCTAGTTGGAACCGTGGTTGTTTGACGTTTTGTTTTTCGAAACTTTCCACTTGATACCACATACTGCTGAGCCCCAAAATGCCCTGGTATGGCCGAGGGTGGAGAGATTCAGCTCCTCTCGAAATGCTCTCACATGGCCACATACATACAACCACTGCCAGGGAAGTCCTACTCACAGCCTTCTCGCGGCGGGGGTGTTGTTTACGAAATTGAGAGGACGAAAAGCGAATATCCGACGTTTTAACCGGGTTGGCGGACACGGAGAGTTCACATAGGGGAGTTGAAAAACCCTCATTCCAAACCAACGGTGTACATGGGCTCAAGGATCCTGAAGGAAAAAAATGGCGTAGGAACCTAATGTTGGTCACCGACTACAATGGGAATGCATCTCCTGACGTTGCTCCACTGCCTTGTGGATCAGACCTTTAGGTCGAAGGTTCGGGGTGTGGCCCCCTAAGAAAACCACCTGCTTCGGTTTGGGCACCTGGGCAGTATCCCAGTCCTCACACAAATCGAATGATTTATGTGACGCATATCTATTTGGTGCCTCCTTGTACCAATGTTCATGTGTTTAAATAACTAAATATATAAACATACTGTTGTAAAATTAAACCACTTAAAATATGAAAAGTTTATAAGTAATAATTATTACGAGAGAACATCATGACACAGAATGGGGTTGCATAGAGATGCTTATTAAACTAATTAAGGCCTACACTAACTGGTGTTCGTACTAGGTGTTAAGTTGAGCATCCATTCACATAAAAACACCTTTTAAAACAAGGGAAATGAATACCAAGATAATGCAGTGAAGAGATAATTAGGGGAATACATGGAACCATGAGACACTTATGTAGAGTACGCCAAAACAAATATGATTAAAATGTTGTCAAATTTATAGGGGAAACCTATAAAGATGAGATTTGAGGACCTAGGAGACGATTCTTACAGTCCACATAAAGAGATACTGTAGGAAAATAATTATTTGTCATCACCAACATATTACCAGAATGAGTGGAATCCATTTTGTCCAAGCTTGACAGGAAAGAATAGATTTGGGCGAGATGCTTCTGTATTTCGGTCACGAAGAAAATGTTCCACACAATCTGAAAGTTACTCTGATGCTGTTTACAGAAGCATTTAAAACACTTATAGGATAGGAATCTCATGGACCCAGAAACATTAAAGCATCTTCCAAAACAATGGGGGGAATCACAAGGAATGTTATCAAATGTTATGCACCAACCAATGACAGCAACGACGATAAAGATCAGATTTAGGAGAGGCTGCAATCAATTGTAGCGAAGTGCTCAAGAAAAGACCTGACCATCCTGATGGTAGACTTAAACGCCCAAGTCGGGATGGACAACATCAGGTATGAAAATATCATGGGACGAAATGGATTGGGGGGAGGGAACGAAAATGGTGACAGACTTGCGATCTTACGTGCATCCAACAAAATGGCTATAGGCGACACAATATCACCCCACAAACACATACACAAAACTACATAAATCTCACCGGATCATACTACCCGGAACCAGATCGATTATGTATGCATAACTAAAAAATTCAGGTCAATGACATACTGATAAACTCACAACAGCTCTCAGCAAAAGGTTCCAAGCCATACAAGACCTACTGAAAACAAGAAACTGCGATGAAGGACAACTGGTAAGGAATCAAAGGAGCACTAACTTCAACGTGTCAGGAAGTACTGGGTCGCAAGAAGCATCATCATAAGAAATTGTCTCCATCGAAACCCTTGGTAGCACTCGGGAAAAGAATAAAATGAAGACAGCAGTTGACAACAGCCAAACAAGAACAAAGAAATCCAAGGCACAGGCCGAACACACAGAAGTAAACAAACGAATGAAGAAGAGCATTGGAGGCGATAAGTAGAAATATGTGGAGGACCTAACAACGACAGGAGAAAAAGCTGCAACAGTAGGATATATCAGACAACTATATGAGGAAAGCACCCAACTACATCACAAGGCAAGCCCTCACACGTAATCCTCAAATCCAAAGGAGAGAGGAAGATCAAACAACAATTTACGCCAAGAAACGGAGACAGGCATGAGAAGAATGAACAACAATTGGATAGAACTAGAAAGGAAGACCCAGGACAGTGTATTAGAGGATATTGGTCGGCGACTTATGCTCCATTGGGGGCAACAGGCGTAAGTAAGTAAGATCAGTCAAGGAAAACGAAGGCGAGACAATCACCGAGATTCGAGAACAGATGGGTAGAACACTTTTAAAAACTCTTGAATAGACCAGCTCCATTGAATCCACCGAACATCGAAGCAGCACACACAGATCTTCTCATGGATGTCACTCCACCAACGATCGGAGAAATCAGGATGGCCATCAGACAAGAGTGGGAAAGCAGCAGGACCTGACGATATACCAGCTGGAACATAGAAGTAGCTGCAAGTATGCTTCACGTTTCATTCAGGAAGATGTGGGAGGACGAACAAATGCCGACAGACTGGAAAGGGGGACATCTCATCAAGATTCCAAAGAAAAGAGCTCTGAGCAAATGTGAGAACTACAGAGGAACCACACTACTATCGGTACCAGGAGAAGTTTTCAACGGTGTTGTTGAACCGAGTGAAAGATTTAGTAGACGTCCAGCTTCGAGATCAATAGGTCAGATTCCTTAAGGATCGGTCGCATACAGACAAAATCGCAACACTAGGGATTATCGTTGAACAATCAAATGAATGGAACTCGTCACTATACATCAACTTCCTTCATTATGAGAAGACATTTGACAGTGTGGATGGGAGAACATTATGAGACCTTCTTCGACACCTGGGAAAATCGTCAACATCGTCAGGAATTCATACGACAGACTACACTGCAAATTCGAGCATAGAGAACAGCTGACAGATGAACTCCAAACAAAGACTGGAATCAAACAAAACTGCTAAGGTAATAAAAATTAACACGACTTTTACTTTTTGTCCAGTATAAGATCATCCCGATCTCCCTATTAATGGGTTTTCTCCATAGTCGCGGAAGTCTTCCCCAAAGTTGGGGGAAAATTAGAGCAAAAACCCGTGTAATAGGGTTCTGAAAAAAAATATTGGGGAAAACACAAACCTTCCACTGGAAATTTGAGGATTTTCGGGGGAAACTTTGTGCCGTTTACTTGAAGTTTTCTGTTGCGGTTTCCCCAATATAGGGAGATTGGGATTAGTGGATTGGCGAGGTTACAACTTATACGCGACTCTTGAGCAACTTAAACTAACTTCGAGAGTCTCTTTCTGCTTACTAAAGTTGAATGAAGATTTTAAACAGATGTTAGGAACTGGAATTAAAGTAGGTAGTTGTACGTTAAGGTTAGACATTAGATCTAGGGTTATTATCAAGTACTGATATAAGCTACTCTGTCAGAATGCAGTGAATGCTTATGGATAAATGCGTTCACTGTCCAAATACATGACGTCCAAAATCTGATTATTTTAACTACAATTAATAGTAATTTAAGCACGTCGGAATCTGTACCGCAAGCCTTTAAAAAGCAGACGGTTCAAAGGTTCAAATGGTTGTGGACAGAATAGAAGAATCTTTCGCTTAACAGGCTTCCGTGTCTAGTAGCAGGGGATCACGAAATCCTCCAGGCAGGAACCTAGGTATGTTAACAATAAAAGAGGAAAAGAAATTGGTAAATCGTAGTGTGATGCTGTCCTTGGTTCTTAAGAATAGGTCAAGTTGCCTCTTGAAGGACTCCTGAGAAGTCGCTTGGACTACCTCGGCCGGCAGCGAATTCCAGCTTTTGACAACTCTTATGGAGTAGAAGTTGTGTCTACATTCCATCTTGCTATGTTGTGTTTCCAGTTTCTGGGTGTTACCCCTTAGGTTATTATTCGAACTAAGCTTAAGTAGGTGTTTAAGAGGATGTCCAGAAGTGTTAAGAATACTATAAGCCATTAATAAATCACCTCTAAGACGCCTATATTCTAGTGGGTAAAGGTCTAGTGAACGGAGGCGTTCTTCGTAAGGCTTAGATTTGAGTCCTCGAACTGATTTCGTGGCTCGCCGTTGGATACGCTCCAAAGTGACCTTGTCCTTTTGGAGTGAGGGGGGAGTACTATGTTTCCGTACTCTAAATGGGGACGGATGAAACTATTGAAGATTATATGGAAAGTTCTTCCGTCAAACTGGCCAAAAATGCGCCTCAACGTTACCAGTGCAAGGTTTGCTCGGAAGGCATTTTTGTCACAGTTAGCGTAGGACTTTAGATCGTAAGGCACCAGAACTCCTAAATCTTTTTCGACTTGAGATACTATTAGAGAGGAGTTACCTAAGTTGTAACTGTAGTATGCGACATGTCGCAGATGGACTACTTTACACTTTGAACTGTTAAAGGTAAGTACGTTATCGTCTGCCCAACTTTGAAGTCGCGCCAGATCCTACTGAAGTGCCTGTATATCGTCTTGGTTGCGTATCACTCTCCAAAGATTCAAGTCATGGGCAAAAAGTAATAAGTCTGACGTTACCTGTTAAGGGAGATCACTTATGTAGATCAAGAAGAGAAGACGCCCTAGTACTCAGCCCTGGGTGACCCCAAAAGGACATTCCATAGCATAAGATAAAGTGAAATACACACAATATAAAGTGTCCATTTTTTAGGTATGAAGTAATCAAAATTGATTGATCACTGGGTGGTGATCAATCTCATGCTTGT